AGTGAGGGCCCCCCAGAGGCAGTGAGGGCCCCTCAAGGCAATGAAGGCCCCCCCGAGGCAGTGAGGACCCCCCAGAGATGGTGAGGGTCCTCCCGATGCAGTGAGGGCCCCCCAGAGGCGGTGAGGGCCCCTCAAGGCAATGAAGGCCCCCCCGATGCAATGAGGGCCCCCCAGAGGCGGTGAGGATGGTGAGGGCTCTCCTGAGGCAGTGAGGGCTCCCCCAGGTGATGAAGGCCCCCCAGAAGGTAGTAAAGGCCCCTCAAAGGCTGCACCTTACATACAAACCCTAATCCAAGCCAGGAAAGAAAGCTACATGTCATTGGATCCTGAATATTAAACATTAAAAAAAGCCTCAGAGAGAATCCCTTCAACACAGCCTTTCCCGTTGATGCACATGAAGCCCCACTCACCACATCCTCTCTGTCCACGTCAGCCTCAGTGGTCTTTAGCTCCCGGTCTCCCAGTGACAGCCCAGTCTTTTAAACATTAAACTGAGGCAAACTGGCTGGAAAGAGCCATATTTGGGGGCCAGTCACCACAAGCTGATTGAGTAATAGCTGCTTGGACCGGGCCGCGGGGTGGGCACAGCCTGCCAGGGCCCTGACCTCCAACAGCAAAGGTGCTCTCGGCAGGCCCATCCCAGAGCCAGGCACCAAAACAGAGTCAAAGAACAGGATGGGGCCACCTCCTGATCTACTGGCCCGACCAGACTAACAGGTTGGTGGGCAGAGGGAAGGGTGGCTCTGAATCCTGTTTCCACATGGATGCTGGGCCTTAGCTTGGTAACCAGAATTTGGTGAAGGGAGAGGGAGCTGCCTGGCTGACCGGGAGGCCCAGGAGTCTCTGCAGATGAGCAACAGAATCTCCAAACACCTAAAGGAAATGGAAATTCCCCCAACTTGGGCCAAACATCAGGGTGGGACAACCCCCCCCACCCCGAGCCCGTGTCAGCTCCTGTCCATTCAAGAAGGGGGACGGTGACGGCTTTGGACCCCCTATTCACACCCCTCTTCCCACTCATGGACGGCTGCCCTGGTTCGAGCCTTCACCCTCTTTCCCCTGGGCTTCTGTACCAGGCTCCTCAGTCGTCCCTCCCCTCTCCAGCCCATACTCCGCACAGCCACCACAGATGTGTCCACATGGCTACCCTGTTCACAAGACTTCTGTGGCTTTCTACCATGCGTAGGATGAAAGAAAAGCTTCTTCAGCTTGGTACTGAAGGCCTGCCACAGTCTTGTTCTAAGCCACCCTCTGATCTAGGTGCCGCCCTCCTGGACTACCCTCCTGTCTTATCTCCAGCTACGGAAATGTTGAGAGTGGCCCCGCCTGAGGGAGACCTTCCCTCACTCACCGTTCTAGAGAATTTGCTCTAGCTCTGTCCTGGGCCTCAATGCCATCCGACCTTCCATTAAACACATGCCATGGCCTCACTATCAGACTGTAAGCCCCTCAGGGCCAGGGCTGGCTTGGCATTCATGTGGGCGGCCCAGCCCCCTACACTGAGCAGCCAGCCTAGGCACATGTCAGGCATTTGGTAAAGGCTTATTTGTTCCTCTTGTGACACCTTTACTTCAGTGACACACATGGAGAAAAGTGAAGGTAGGGTGTCTGGCCTCAAGCTAGTAGGCTTCACCGTGCCCTGTGGCGAACGGCCCTCCCCACTCCTAGAGCACTGGGGAAGGCTCACAGGGCCCTGTCCTCCCAATAGCTCTCTCTGGAAGGCTGGCAGTGTCTATGAGCCCCACCTTACAAAGGAGGAAACTCAGTCTGGGAAGTGGGGCGTCTGTGTCTATGGACTCTGGGGGGGGAAGGGGGGTGCTCTTTTCACTCAGACAGGGATCTTGTTAAATATGAAATAACCAGATGGGATTCAGGCGGTTCCAACAAGCGTGTATTCAGTGCTGACTGCATACATGCCAGCCGTGGTGCTAGGTGCTGAGGACAGCACAGACAAAAACAACGGTGAACAAGCACCTTGCACTGCCCTGGCAGGGTGGGGCACACACGCAAAGAAAATCGGAGGAAGTGGAGGAGGAGTTGGCCACAGAGCGTCCCTGGGTTCATTCAACATGCTTTTAGAAAACATTAAGCCACAGTCTCTCCTGGGCACAAGGCGAGGACCACTTCATGACTCTGCCCCTGGGGTTCTCATGCCTTTGGTGAAGAGACCCCTTGGGGTCTGTTTTCCATTCTCTTATTTGTGCACCTGTTCTCCCCTCCAAGAGAACCAAAGCTCCTTGGGGGCAGGGGGGAGGGTGGTCTCAATTTTGCCTCTACCTCCAACCCCAGGCACTTAGTAGGGCCCCAAAATGCTTGTAGATTGATTTATGACTAAATCTATGCAGAAGCAAGTCATTCTGGCAGCAACGTGAAGGACAGACTGGAAGCCAGACCTGTGAGGAGTCTGTGGGCCTGGGCTAGGCGGGTGGCAGAGGGCTGGTAGGAGAGTGGGGGCTGCAGGAAGAAAGAGGAGGGGGCAGATGGGGAAAAACATTTCAGAGGTGCTACGGCAGGCTGTGGTGACTCATTAGATGTGACAGGTGAGATCTCATTAGATATGAGAGCTGAGTCAAAGGTTTCCAACAGGGGGACTGAAGGAAGGTGGAAATAATGACCGTAGAGGGGGGGCCAGGCATGGGGTAGGGGAGAGGGCCAGGTATGGGCAGGG